AATATGTTATATTCGAGTGATGAGAAAAGTACAAAACTAAGATATTATTATTGCATTAAAGGTTCCCTATAAACAAAATCAGTGAACTATGATCGGATTAATAATTTTCTGAAAGCAGGTTTAGGTTATTCTATTTTTCATATTACTACAAATAATATTATGATTATTGGTTTAAAACTCCCCCCGAATACATGATCAATCTACTTAGCGCTCACCGTACCTTATTATTTCTTATTAATTTTATACAATTATATACAATATAGTCTTCCACCAAACATTTGATCGAGTTTATAATTGAACTATAATTTCTCTCATCCTATCTGATCCATATTTATTCTGATCATTAATCTAATAATTCTATTTAACTTATAGGCTGATTCAAGTTAACATTATATATTAGTCAATACAACATTGTTCTGGCTATATATAAATTCATAAAGGGAACTAATTGCATGTAATTTTATTTTATTCAGCAATCCTGTATTCGTTTATAGTGAATTTAACGATGTATTTTATCTTAAACTTGGTTACTTTTTGAGATTATATATTTAAATATATAATTGTATAACCTGAAGAGAATTAATTGAAAAGAATACTCTTCGTTGATATATTAGTGTTTTATTATGATAGAGATTTTTAGATAAGTACAAATAATTATAAGGGCCGTACTCTTAAAGTTGAAAAACATATGGAACTCAAAACAGTCGTCAGTCAACACCAACATCAGAATCTTCAATACGAACGTCAAGACAGTTCTACTGTATGTAGCTGAAACTTGGATGGCTACTATAACCATTATCAAAAGGCACAAGTATTTATAAACAATTTTCCACGCAAGATACTAAATGTCCGTTGACCGGATACTATCAGCAATAGCCTACTATGGAGAGGAAAAACTAATTTCCTGGTGAGGAGGAAATTAGGAAAAACGTTGGAAGTGGACAGAATGTACATTACGAAAATCTGCAAACTACATCCTAAGGCAATCGCAAATTCCGAATCCTGAAGGGAAACGGAATAAAGGAAGGCCGAGAAACACACTACGTTGAGAACTGGAAACAAATATGAAAAGGATGAATTACAACTGGAAAAAAACTGAAAAGGATTGCCAGAACAGGGTTGCACGGAGCAAGCTGGTGGGCTACTTGTTTTTATCCACCAGGAGTAACTGGCGTAAGTAAGTAATTACAAGTAATTATAGCACTAAACGAGGCTTAAAATTTCTTGACTAATCACTGAAATAAATTGTTTAATCATATCGAAATCTTTTGTATTATATAAGGTCAAAATCGAGTCTCATTGAGTTTTAAATACTTAATTCAGTTATTTTTTTACTTTTTAAACGAATAAGCTGAAATATGATTATAATTTAGTTATGTCTTTGTAAATTAGAATAAATGAACTCAGGTTGTGTTCAGTTCATTTGAAAAAGTTTAATTGTTTTTCGGGTTTAGTTGTGATTAATTGAAATCTTATATGTTAAATGTGATTTTTCGTTTTATCTATGTCTATGTTAACACATTAGTTAAGTTCTTTTCAAGTCCTTTTTAACTCCTTACATACATGGTTAATAATTTCTGAGGGTTGATTAAGTGAAAACGAAAAATTCATGTAAATGAAAAACGTTAATGATGCTAAACTTTTCAAGATTTGTTGATAGAACCTATAAGTTTCAAATTATTTGTTGTTGTTCCGAAAAGTCATATACAATAACAGCAATTCCTTAGTAAAATCAAGCAATTACGCTTAATGTAATAAGTAGAAACTATGTACATAAAATATGATGTTTCAAACAAATATATTTGACTTTTGATTAAGATTATGAACCGATTGGTGTTAAACCTGGAAGCACCATGACCAGTGGATCTAATCCATGTCAGGTAGAGACAGGTATATCCTCAATACAATGGAAGATAGTAATGCAATTTCTTGGATTGGTTGAGGTTAGATATTAACCTTATTGGATGCCGACTAATTGGTCTAGATGTTAGGCGTTCGTGCACAAGGCGGAAGGTCGTGGGTTGGAATCCTTAGAGAAGGTCATGGGTGCGGACTGCTGAGGTGTCGCACAATAGGATGAAACGGTCTTCCAGTGCTTTCACGTGTTCAATGGTGGTCTAACATTAATCGGTTCATGATTTCAATCAAAAGCTTAGTAATCTCCACAACCCCATACTGATAAATGCATTTGAATGATTACATTAAAGGGAAAATTCTCGTTTGGACATTTAAAAAAATGATGAAACAAGAGAAAGATATTTCTTTTCAATTGGTTTTTAATTACGTCTCCGACATTAGTATCTTTATATGAATATTGGTCGAAATTTAAAAGCACATTTTGAAAGGGATAATAAACTAAGTATGTAAAAGACAATAATGTACATATGATTTTTCAAAGTGATCCCATTGATTGACATTTGAACAGTTTCAGCGTTTCGCTTAAAAATGTAGTTCGAACGTATTAACGAGAGTAACCAGTTTTAATTATTTTCACCTGATAGTAAAAATTAAGATGTACAATAATAATAATAAAATAGATACTAATCAGATATTCATGTTTTAAACAAAACTATTAACAAATCGAAGTACTCATCAAAATATAATCTAAACAATAAGAATGAAATTGTGTGCTAGTAAACCTCTGATAGTCACTGGTAGTGTGGTGTTTGTTACTGATGTCGACAGACATCAGTCGTATGTATCATCAATCTAAATGAAATGTCTGGCGGTAGTAGGTCAAGAAGATCTTAAAGAAAAGAACGAGAACATAGAGTAATTGGTATAGAAACGAAGGAACAGTGAAGTCTGAGACAATTGACTTACATTTTGCAAATGAAGTATTTACTATACGGTTATCAGATTTGACTAAGATATCCTATAATTTTTTGTTCAAATGCATTTGACTGTACCCGCCTGTATTCTCATTCATTGGAGTAGGACATTTTTAAGAAACTTCAAGTAATGGTACACTCGATCAGTATCAATATAATAAAACTAGAGTTTGCTTCAACCTGATTGCTAGTCTAAGGAATGTTAGTTAGAGTCCGTTATGGATCCTCATTTTCTTCAAGACTACATGCACGCCATTCTGATGAATGCCAAATATTACGGAAGGTAGGTTCACGTTTTTATATCTGAAATCACCTAACATCACTCAGTTATAATGTTTGTGCTTAATTTTAAAAAAAGGATTTGTATAAATGAGATTTGTTTGTGAAGACATTTATGATAAACCACTAAGGTCATTTGGAGAAATGTTCATCTGTAAAATAACGGAAAGGTTTGTGAACTCTTCATGTTAAATATTAACGTCAGTCTTTTTAGTTACATATTACAAAGATGGAGAGGAAGTTGAGTTGTCACTAAGAAGTAGAAAATTATAATAAACTATTTTTAGATACAAATTCTACACTGAACACAGAATCAAGTAAGATAGGACTTTTTATAATAAGTTTCATAAATAATCACCTTAAGATTGATAGTTCTCTATAAAATTATGAATAACCAACGTTAATATACCCATAGTTTGTATTGATTAATGAGTTTTTGAGTTCTTGATGAAATTCTATATTTTAATTTATTCATTTTTCTTATTTTATAAAACGAAAGAAAGTCTTCTTCTCGATCAACTTGAATCAATCACACTGAACTGTTTATTTTGAGTAAATTATTAGCTCAAATGAAGATGACTAAATTACAGTTTAAAACTCTAAACATACTTCAAGACATTGAATTATTTCTGCTAAGATTAGTTTTAATGATAAAAATTAATCCTAATATTAATTTGACTGTTTCATTGGTCGAATGAAATCTTAGCATTATGACAAGCCTTACAAATGTTAATGATGACATACTGTGATCTAATATAATTCATTCACTCAGATATAATTTTGATACAGATAAGGTCGTTATTCAATAGTGATATATCCTTATTAGTGGCAGCTAATGTTATTGTGAAATGTGAATATACACGAATGTGTATCTGAATTTAACATGTATTTAAAGATAGATGTATATTAAAAGTGCACTGTAATCTAAATATCAAATCAAACAAAATCATTTTTATGGTTATAAGCAAGGATGGATAGTGGCTAGCACTGGAATACAGGATGCGTGTTATATCCTATTTGGGACTCGTCAGCTGGATGTAAATGCATCCGAGTTGATATTCACTCCGGGATTCGAACCCAGTACCGTTCGCTTCAAATGCCATCGCGTTATCCACCTAACTACTGAGTCCTTATAGCCACCTGCTTGGGTAATGGATGTACCTTCATTTAGAGTTGATTTCCACTCTGGGTGTCAGCCACTATCCATCTTTGCCTATAATACTTGTAAACTAGGACAACATCGAGGCAATACTCACAGTATTCACACATGCCAATAAGAGACTGATCGATTGCAGTCGCAAGCATCGATGGGAAGATTCAAGTAAACAATATCACGTGAATTCATTTTTATGGTTGTTGAAAAATTCTGAAATAAAGTTGGAGATTCAGTTATGCTACTAGGTAATGAGCTGTAGAATATAAAGTAATCAACTTATTATCTTCTTAGTAATATGTTCCTTCAAACTGCGCACTGTTCGTTGGAGAACTTAAACCAAATATAAGTTGTTAGTTAGCCATATGTGTTCATTGTTACAAGCAGAGTTTAAATATGGTTTATACGTTCACTCTGTTAAATTTGACAATTTTGAGCAAAAACGTAAAAATCTATCTGAACGTTTACCAATCTTTTTAGTTTATCCATACAGATCTGTTTTGTATCTTGACAAAGAATATTTTATTTTATGAATAAAATATATAGTGAAGGGAAAACATTATTCGAAACGAAAAGAATGTTTTGTAATTAGATTTTAAGAAGTTTACAACTTATTCTATGTAATTGGTACCACTAAGGTCTAAAAAAAACCTTTCTTTTCCTATATGTATTCAAATAGTCATTTGTGTCATCATTTTATTTACTGTTTCACTATCCTATTCACTTTTAAATTTCAGAAATATCACAAGTCAGTATGCTTCAACAAACAATTTTAAAATGGGGAAAACATTTCATACGGAACAAGCAAAAGATCAGCAAGCGTCATCTTCTTCCCCAACACCATTTCAACAGACTGTTAATGAAACAGCAACTGTTACAAATGCTGGACAACTGAGTAGATCAGGATTTTTACGTCATCCATTACGTAAAGCTATGAGTTATGTGAAACCTCAATCAGAATCTTTTGTATCAGTTAAATCAGCTTCAAGAAGACTTCATCATACTTCAACTATTGAGAAACCGGATGATCCAAAATTCAGATCTAGCAGCAAGAGTTCAAGTCGTAATTCACTTTATAACAATATAAAACATTTCGATTTGTCAACTAAGGTAAGAACAACAAAATTCTCAAAATAAAGAATGAACAAGATTCACTTAACATTTGATTACACGATTGTGGTTACCGCCTTATCATAGTTAACTTAAATTTATGGAATATTTTATAAGAAAAATCTGAGTTTTGATTTTTCTTAACTATTAAGATACCAAATATTCTTTCTGTATTAGATTTGGGCTTACTATGTTTCTCTTCTAGTTTATATTGTGTTTGCACAATATCTAATTTTTTTCTTAGATTTTTAGCGACTAGTGTTTGTTTAGACAATTTTGATTTCCTGTTCAGTAGTTACAATTAATCAATAAATAATTCCTAACTAACTAGGTATACATCCAGAAAAATAAAAAAATATTTCGAATATACAGGTGGCGACTAAAAGAAAAAAAACTCTAACATGATTTATCTATATACGGAAAGCGGTCCCCTTCCTAAATTTTTAAATAGTCAGTAACAGAATTTTCCAACTTAAAAAATTTAAGGTTCGAATTATGGCTCCAGCTTTTTTTAAGATCAACAAACAATATTGTCTAGACGATTGCCTAACAAAGGGATATTGTTTTAGATCAATCTCCTTCAGATGTCAAACAAAAGCTTATGATGGCACTTCAGTTACATGTTTTGCTTTATAACATTTCATTAGAGTCGAAACTTGAATGGTCATATATTTGACAGTCTAAATCATCCAACGTCTTTTTTTTGTATTAAAAAGCGGGAATATTGATTGATGTACTATTTCATGGAGCGTGCTAAGGTTTAGCGATACCATTCATGGATGCCAGGTCAGTGGATCCAATAGTGATAGTGTTTAACATCAACCAATGCACGAAATTGAGCGACCATCTTCCATTTTACTGAGGTAGATACCTGTCTCGACTGGTCACGGTTTCTCACTAGAACTCCAAGAATTCCCTCACGAAGCTAGTCACTAGTGAGCACATGATAATTATCAGTATAGGAATTGTGAAGATTTTAATAAGTTTTCAATTGAGATCATGAACCGATTGATGTTAGAGCACCATTGAAAACGTAGAAGCACTGCACGGCCGTTTTATGTATACGATGTTGTAGAAAACAACAAGAAAAAATATTAGTTTGTAGGTTATTTCCAATTTATTTATATTTAATCATTATTTACCATTGTTTCTATAAACCACTTCTGCAAATGTCAATTAAATAACATGTATTGATTTCTACGGTAAAATCTATCAAAACGTTGAACTATATATATGCCATGCACTACCAAATACTATTTAGTTTTTATTCAAAAATTGAAATCATCGAAAGGAAATGAGTTCATTACAGCGAAATGTGATCATTACGTAACTCCAGTGCATTTTCAAATTTATAACATACAGTCCAAAACCAATCAGCAACAAGCCTATATTATTATCACAATTAGAATCATTCATAATTTATTTACGTAAACTTGAATTCAGTCAAATAAAAACTAATTTCGATTAGATGGTGGTTGAAGGTAGCCGACAGGAAACCCTGGATCCGGGTTTCGTGTTACTTGGCACTCGTCAGCAAGGCGTACTTGTATTCTTGAGGGAACCGGTGCTCCTTGGCGGATTCGATCCCGTGTCACCCAGTTTCACAGTCAGAAACGTCACCACTGAGCTATCCCGGCCGCGACCAACCTCCGATTATTTGTGAAAAACTAATTTCGTCAGGTTTATATTTTATTGATAGTAAAGTACATTAATATTTTTTGCTGTATTATTCACTATTTCATTCGACTTTTATTTCCTTTTTTTTAAAAATATATCTAAGCCAACAAATGAATGTTTACAAATGAATGATCATTCAAATCGATCAACTATACAGGAAGTTTACACTGGGGAATCATGTTATTCAACAACACCTAAACAAGCCATAAAAATTGATGTGGAAAGAAAAACCAAACAAAAAGAGTAAGTAATTCTGACTGTATCTTTTCAATAATAAACAGAATTTCAGGTTATTAATATTCATATATATACGCCTTTGATGTTGCAGTTAAGATATAAAAATCCAAATCATTTCTGGTTACTTATTTACACAAAAATACGTTGATAAGAAAGAAGATATGTCTAAGGAAAACAAATGACAATGAATTTTACCCTTAATGAAACTAATATTGTGGTGTGTGCTACTGATGTTGACAGATATGAGTTGTATGTATCATCGATCGAAAGTAAAGTGCTCGGAGGCAGTAGGTTAAGATCTATGAGAAGAGAATGATTGGTGTGGAAATGAAAGAACAATGAAGTCTGACACGATTGATTGACAGTTTGAAAATGAAGTGTTTACTGTATGGTTCTCAGATTTTACTAAGATGTTCTATAATTTTGTATTCAAATATATTTGGTTGTCCCTGCTTGTGTTCACTATAGTAATATCAGCTTCAGTGTTGTGTCCACACTTAATCTTTTTTATTTATTATACATGACATAGTGAATTCACAAAAAAATTGTTAAATATATACGTAATCTCTGGTTTAGATGATGATAAACTAAAATATTAGTCAAAGATGAGTAGTGGCTAGCAGTGGAATCCTATTTGGGACTCATCAGCTGGATACACCTGTATCGCAGAGTTGATGTTCATTCCGAGACTCAAACGTATTGCTGTTCGCTTCAAACGCCATCGCGTTATCCACCTGGCTACTGAGTCCTGATAGCCACCTGCATGTGCAATGGGATGAAGTTTAAATTCACTTGGTGTTGTTTTACTTTTATCTTCCCATTGTTAATTGATTGATCAGTATCTTGTGGATAACGAGATGTTGTTTGAAGCGAACGGTACTGGGTTCGAGTCCCGGAGTGAATATTAACTCTGAGATGCAGGTACGTCCAGCTGACGAGTCCTAAATTGGACAAAATATTCCAGTGCTAGCCACTATCCATCTTTGCTTCAAAAACTTGTGACTTAAGGTTATATCGAGGCAATTCGCATAAAATGCACATATGCCAACATGAGACTGATCAAATGTAGTCCTAAATAACAATGTAAAGATACAAGTAAAACAACATCAAGTGAATTGAAATATTAGTCGCTGAAATATTTGTATGGATTAAATTCATAATTTACTTCATCACTTAGTTTTTCATAGACTTAAATATTTGCCTTACTGTCTTACATTTTAATGCATTTTAATTTTTTTTATTAAGTTATTGATGTACTCACTGTAATACAAATGACAAAATACTTAACTAAACTACAGGAATAAACAATTATGACTAATGGATTTTTCTAATTTTTCAACTTACATCTTCATAACCGATTGGAATAAGATGTAAACTGACCCATAATGTTGTTGTTAAGTTTTGTGTATTTTCTATTTATTTATTTAAAATAAATTAAAATGAACAAACGAAACGGAGTTTGGTAAGTAGATTGTCTGACCATATTTGTATTATATGATAAAAGTTTGGCTATCGGTCATATAGTTTCATTTCAAACTTACTGAATATAGTCACTTCATATACTAAGGTTCGGATTACAATTGAAATTATTGACACGTTTGTGCAATTCAATTACTGAAAAGAATATCAAAGCTAAAGTAGTTTATCACGATTATTATAAATAAAGTCATAGCGATATCGAAAGTGTAGATACTGTCATTCAATTGTTATTGTTAACCAACAACAGAAATGTAACTTTCAATAATGACAACAGTTACCAATGTCAATAATCAATTATATTGAATGAATGTGAATAGTCCTTTTTAATTTCATAGTGATTTTCATAGAATCTATCTCTGATAATTAAGATTCGTGTCTGCCATTAATAATAGTTTGGTAAATTCCAACAAATAACGATGACACTAATAATCATAATAGTATCAATAATAGTAATCGAAATCAATATTCAAATTACATATTAAGTACAGTTGGATGATTGTTAACGGCAAAATTCAGGGAGTACATTTAGCTCTATATGGGACTAATCATCTGGATCGACCTGCATCATAGATTTGGTGTTCACCCCGGGACTCGAACTTCATTCCTTTCACTAAGAACGCGTTGTTCATTTAGCTGTTGAGTTCAGAGAGTCAATGGCCTGTGGAAATGCAGTGATAAATAACAATGGGGAAATTTAAACAATCAATACAAAAATGAATTAAAGTTTACCCCATTGCGCAAGCTAGTAGCTATCAGGACTCAGTAGCTAAGCGGGTAGCGACATGACATTTGAAGCGAACAGTACTGGGTTCGAGTGCCTGAGTGAACATCAACTCGGATGCAGGCATACCCAACTGACGAGTCCCAAATAAGACGAGATGCGCATCCTGAATCCCACTACTAGCCGCCATCATCTATGCTCATAATACTTCTGACTTTAGGTAATATGGAGGGGATCCGCACAGCACGACCACATTCCTATAAGAGACTGATCTATTGCCACCCTAAACATCAATAACAAGATGCAAACAGCCAATATAAGTGAATTCAAATCCGAATTGCGTCTTGATGCATCATTACAATTAAACAGTATATTCTGTTTTAATACTTCGATAACAACAATTTCTTTCATTTCGTTCTTTTGGTAATTAAATTTTTTCTTACAATGGGAAATTATCTTAACATAAATGGGTAACATATGTTATTGTTTTGCAAATTAACTCATTTACCGAATTATTTCATCATTTATTTCATAATTTATTTCGTAGGTTCATTTACTTGATAATGAAAATAAAGGCTTGAGATATAAACCTATAAACATGAAATATTATACATGTTGCGTTTTATAGGTTTCAGTTCCCGATGAACATTTTTATGCATATATATATATATATATATATATATATATATATATATCATGTGAAAATGTGTGAAGTGTAACTGTCTTATAGTTATACTACTGTAATAAACATTTAACTTAAAACATAATTTGGGTATATATCATCTTCTATTTACATGTACTCAATACTGTTTGTGGATATCTATTTAATAATTAAAAAAAAATAAGAATACTAAATAACAAAAGTATCACTGACGATAACCAAATTAACTCAATGGATATAAATATGTATAATAATTTGAACATTTCTCTATTGATGAATTAAGAGAAAGTAGTAATAGTTTTTGTATCTGGTGTTAAATATAGAAAATCTAAAAACTAAGCATCCTTTTAAACGACTTGAATCCATTTGATTGTGGTTGGATATTATAGTAAAGCAATTGTTACTGACTAATCACTTTTAGACTTACATTACTTTGATTCTCAGTTTATAAAATGCAAATATGTAAGAAATCTATAGTGATTAATTGAAAACGGGCTAAGACTACAAATTAATTAAATAATCATTGTTAGTGATCAATATCACAGATACTTAAAGGGAAATATCTTGTGGTGTGGGTTACTTATATCCATATATGTAATATATAACGGTGGTCAGGCATAGAATATATATTTCAGTAGAAGGTCGATGAGGAAAGAACAGGAACGGAATGCAATTGGTATGAAAACGCAGCAGGACAATACACGCATTTCCATAGTGCAGTCCCAATCAGATACAAAAGGAACTTGATAAAAATCTTGACACATCGGGCTAGAATGATTTGCTCTGAAGACACCATCGAAGAAGAATTGAGTAATATTCGGAACCTACTTAGCATGAATGGGTATCCCATGAAATTCATCGACAAACATATGATGGAGAAGAAAACAAGGACAAAGATACCCACCGTCCATAAGAAGGTACTATTCATAAAACTACAATTCATAAATGACACCATTGAAGAAATCTTGACTCAGAAACTAAGAAGAGCCGTACAAAAAACATTTAATGCTGCCAGATTAAATGCAATCTTCTACAACTATCCCAAGATAAGAACAGCCAACAAAGACAGACTTCCTGAATTCGCCAAATCTATGTGTATCTATCGTTTCAACTGCTCCTGTGGAGCCAGTTATATTGGGCGTACAATTCGGCAAGTCCGTCATCGCATTACTGAACACCATCCGTCGTGGTTAAACAAAGGACAGGTAAAAGTGATTAAAAGTTCTATTCTCTCTCGCTTGGTTGACACAGGTCATCAAGTCGAATTGAATAAAGCTTTTAAGGTTATCTACAATATCCCATCTAATTTGCCACATGGTTTACGAGTGCGCCTCTTGCACATTGCGGAAGCCATCGCAATCCATGTTCACAAACCTGACCTTTGCATTCAAAAGAGATTCGTACAACCACTTTCCCTGCCCTGGCCATCAGTTTAAGATTTCCTTCAAAAAAACTATTTTTTATAATTCTTCCTTTTTTTTTTTAACTTTTGTAGTTTTGTTTCTGTTGCTTTTGAACTTAATAACTTCTCAACATTCATCTCTTGATTCTTACGTAACTACCATCCTATTGACCATCCGTTAAAATTCTGTTCCTTCTTTGTTTCTTACATTACGCAACGTAGCAACTTCTTGATCACTTTGAATATTAATAATCCTCTTTCTTCTAATTACTCAATGTTAATTTAAATGTCATTATGTAATTATTACGTAACGTATCTACTCGATGAGTATTATATTATTATTGTAAAACGTATATATATTAGTGTAGAGCCATGATGAAAAACGAATTGAAAAGAAATTTCTTCGCTCAATTCGTTCCTTCTTTATTTACCAAATGGCAAAATGGGGATTTTCACTAAATGTTGGATGTGTCGCTTAATTTCGTGGGTTAGTTGAAGTTAGACATTAACACTGTCGTATGCCGGCTCAGTGGTCTAGTGGTTAAGTGCTCACACGCGAAACCAGTAGGTCCTGGGTTTGAATCTCGTAGGGAGCGAGGTTGTGGATGCGCACTGTTGATGAGTTCCACAATAGGACGAAACGGCCGTCCAGTGCTTCCAGGTTTTCCATGGTGGTCTAGCTTCAACTGACTCATGATCTTAATCATTAAAATTATTGATTCTATCACAATAAATAAGTAAATTCCGATAAATATTATCAGAAGAACGTCTATCGTTAAAACATTAAATGTTCAGTAACGAAAAAATGATAATAAAACACGAACAAAACGACTGGACAACAAAATTTTATTATTACTAGTTCATCAAGTAACGAGAATATAAGTCAATCATTCAATGAAATATGATTCAGAAAACAAAGAATTAGAATGAAGATGAATGCTAAGAAAAGTAAAAAAAAGAAAATAATTAAAGACAGCATATGTAACAGGTTTCTTTTTTCATAATTAAAAATTACTCATGCAACTGTATTCAAATATCATTAGAACAATGAGAAGACGAAATCGAGCTGAAAAGATGTGATGTATTCACGTTATACATTTCGAACAATCTGGTCACATATATAGTTGTCAAGACATTCTAATAAAGGTCAATTAAATGAAAGTTCAAGTAAAAAGGTAACAAAGGGGAGAGAAATAATGTTCACATCGTATAAAATGAATAAGAAATTGTCGCTTTATCCTAAGCCATAAAATGACTTAAGGATTAGCAGGGTACATCACATTTTCAGATCAACTCCATCTTCTCATTGTTCTATTAAAATTTATGAAAAGGGAATAATTGCTTTAAATAGATAAATAATCCATCATAAAATCAAACTTGTTTTATTAGTTGTATACGTTAAGTTTCATAGAATAATGTAAGACCATTTTAAGAACCAATAAAAATAAAAGAACATTGAACAGATATTTTAATATAGGATAAAAATAAGACTATAACTTATGAATGAACCAATCAAATTTAGGATAATATTGGTCTTGGATTTTGGCGCGGAATTCTTTCATCCGTCTGGTTAATTAGCGTTTTGGGATTATAGCTGATGTTAGTTCGTGATGAAAATCTTAAATCTAATTCCTAATCTTATTCATTAACTTTAAATCATAATTTTCATTCCTCACACCGGTCGCGCAATTTCGTGGACTGATTGAGGTTAGACATTAACACCATTGGATGGCGGCTTAGTAGTTTGGTAGGTTAAGTGTTCGCGTGCGCGCCTGAAGACCCTGAGTTCAAATCCTGCGAGCGGGATCGTAGATGCGCACTGCTAAGGAGTCCCACAACAGGACGAAACGGCCGTCCAGCGCTTCCAATTTTTCAGTGGTGGTCAGGTTTTATTCTTTGAAGATACTTGTACATGTACAACTGACTAAGTTCATACTAGAACTAAATCATTGACTAATTTTTCCCAGTTTTTTTTAGTAATTTTTTGTTCATATCATGAATTGACAAAATACACTTATTCAAAAGTATTTATTAACAATATATAACAACATATTTATTTTAATATTGTATTTCTTCTAATTATAGTATCCGCCATCTGAATGATTTAATAACGAATATTTTACCAAGATCATTCTCTAATGCATTTAGACGACCAGTAGGTAAATGTAAAAGCGCATCGCCTACAATAGTAAATGATCATCATATAGAAAAACTGATTGATTCTTTCAGATTTGATAATTTTGAAGTGGAAAGTCAACATTCAGAGAAATCTCCTTCTGATTTATTAACACCTAATGAAGCGTCTCCAGTTCTTAATGAACATAATGTACCAACAAGAAGTCAACTACAACAATGGGAACAATCATTTGACAAGCTTTTAGCTGATACAGGTAGAAAAATGCTTTTTTGATTAATTGCTGTGTATTTTTCAATATACCTGAAAATATTCATTTAAATTACATAATTTGTTATGCATTGTTAAAATCGATATACAACACAAACATATTCTTATAAACGTTTAAATGTAATGTTTCACGTTTTCGTGTTATATGAAGGAGATCAGATAGAGATCCTGGATTTAATTTTTGACAGGGTCGTCAATAAATATTACTGTGGTATTCTTTACTTAGATGAAACAGCCATCAGGTACTTACAGGTTCTCACTGGTTGTCTAACCACGGTTATTCCATGATGTAAAGTATGTATACATAATAGCAGTCCGTAAATAGTTGCCAGAATTCATCCATAATTTAATCTTCTTCGAACAAAACAGCTCATACACTAACTAGTTTCAGTGTCAATAAACAATGAACTTTAGCAAAGTCATTTCTTTGAAATTCTTGAAATATTTGTAATTCATCAGTATCAACCCTTCGAGATATAATATTTCAATCTCAACTGAGAACCAATAGAACTTAAACTTAAGTTTGTATTTTAGACATAAAAAATAACTAAATCCCCGTCATAAATTTCATCAACTATCCAATAAATGTAATGAATATCAAGAACCTATGTGTTTCATCAAAAGGACCAATTAAGAATGGAATATTATCGAAAAGCAATAAATTTAGAGGTCGTTTAAGATTCATTGTATACTTACGACTATCTTACTGTTATTCTATAATAATAACAATAAGTATGTGGCTTCCTCCATCAGTAGTATCTATATTTCCCGAAGTGAATTACAATAGAAAGCTGTATTATTAAGTTTTTCATTTATTGTTATAGTCAATGACACTACTTGAACAGTAAATATCATTTCAATTTTTTAAAACATCAAATACTCATAGATTTTGATGCTGAATAAAATCACAAACATGCCATTTTTTTCTTTAAATTCACTCATTAGTAAGTAATTTTACGCATAATTTAATTTTACAGATGGTTTGTCTCAATTTCATCACTTTTTGAGATCAGAATACAGTGAAGAGAATATTGAGTTTTGGTTAATTTGTGAATTGTATAAACATCTACCACAAGAAGATCTTGGTGAAGAATCACGAAGAATTTATCGTCTTTATTTAGCGCCACATTCACCACATGAGGTAAATTGTGAGCTAAAATTAATCTTACTATCTGTAATACATGAATATGAAAACAGTTGTATTTCATTAGTGATGACTATGAAAAGTACCGGTTCGTTGTGGTTTTTGATTGACTTGTCATAAAATACGTTTTAGGTTCCTTAATAACACAACTCAATAGCACAGTGTACTTATTTTGTTTTAAAAGTCAAAATTTGTGTTTCATATGTTTTAAGGTTATAATAAAAAAAGCTAGGAATAGTAAGACTTTTAGTTTCTTAATATTACTAAACATTTGTTTTATAAATGACTCAGGTATTTGGTTATGTTAGTTCTCTGAGACTACTAGAAATCTCAATACAACACTTTGGGAAGTACTTGTGAACTTCGGTAATTGTTGACTTTCTTGAACATTTTGAACAGCATAATGTTGGATTCATTATAAACTCGATCTAATGAAATCCTTCAGCCGTCTTTTCCTTATTACCCCTTCAGCTAGAAGCTTATTTGTTTTCTCCCACAGTAGGCTGTTGCTAATAGTATCCGGTCAACAGACATTTAGTATCTTGAGTAGAAAATTGTTTATAAACACTTGTACTTTTTTGATGATGGTTGTTGTGGCCCTCCAAGTTTCAGCTCCATACAGTAGAACTGTCTTGACGTTCGTATTAAAGATTCTGACTTCGATGTTGACTGACAGTTGTTTGGGATTCTGTATGTACTTCAGTTGTAGGAATGTTACCGTTGCTTCGGTAATCCCTGACTTTAGGTCTTCATCAGATCCTCCTTGTTCATCTGTGATGCTGATCAGGTATCTGAAAGTTTCCATCTCTCTCAGAGGTTCTCCATCAAGTGTGAGTGCGTTGGTATTCTCTGTGTTCTACTTCAGGATCTTTGTTTATCCTTTGTGTTTGTTGAGGAGTACTGCTTCAGAGGCTACACTGCTACAATGGCTAGTGATTTTCTAGTATGGTAAATATCTGCTTATCATAACTAGTTTCACGGAATATTGATAAAATCATAGTGAGTAGTGTAAATACCAACTATTAAAAAACATATTCATATTCTAATCATTTAAATATTCATCGATTACATCAATACCCCAAAGTATATCTTAATCAATAAGTGACTGTCATATAAGTTCTGTCAATTCAAGTGAAGTAAATTATCATGTAAGTGACTATATTTTCTGACCAAAAGAATAAACACAAGCTAACATTGTGTAAGTGAAACCTTAGAAAATCGATTTTAGTCTTCTTTAAGTAATTAATTGAAATAAAACTTACTAAACACAGACCATTCTTGTTTTAATAATTTAATGATTTGGTTTCTATGATCCGTTTAGTCATAATAAGTTACTTTCACTGTACTTCCAATTTATAAAGTATCAGTCAGTCAGTAACAACGTAGAACTTCGTACGTACGTACATCAGTTCGAGTTGCCACACCACATTAGCACAGAGATGCAGTTGTCGATTCAAATCCCGTAGTGGTAGAGGTAATAAGAGTATAAGCAGTAATCGGGAAGATTAGGGTTTGGAGATGTTATTTAAAGAGTATAATCCAGTGAAATAAATTTGGAAAGAGGAAAAAAGGGACATGAAGAATTCAGAAGATTAGAATTTGGGAGAACACAGAGAGTGGATGCACCTGCGCCATTGCAAACGATTTTGAGCCATGTCATTCAGGGTCTCTAACCATCGGTTGCTATCATCTCGCGGTCCCCAACCAGGTAGTCTACACCTACCAACATGACTCAGTTCACTTGTCAGTGACTTCATGGACTTGTGCCATGTTTTGGTTTGGCCGCCCCTAGCTTTCTTCCAACCTACTCCTATACCACTGAACATAGCACGTCGAGGCAGTCGGTCGTTGGGCATACGTAACACGTGTCCCAGCCATCTCAACTGATGAAGTTTCACTACTTCATCAATTGATTTGCCATCCTTACCTAGTACCCGTTTCCTAACAACTGTGTTACTTACTCGATGGTCCCATGATATACGAGCAATGTTTCGAAGACACCTATGATCAAATACTAGTAACCTACGAATATCCTCTACTCTTACCGGCCATGTTTCACTGCCATAAAGTAGGACGGAACGAACTGCTGCGCAGTAAACACGTCCTTTGGTTGATAGACGGATATCTCGCCTACGCCATAAATGACGCAAGTTGGCAAAAGCTAGTCGAGCCTTCTGTATCCGTGCTGAGATTTCGTCACACACTAAACCACAAGGGCTGATGAGACTTCCAAGATAAGTGAAGCGGTCGACACACTCAACTACTTCACTCCCTATCACTAGTTCGGGTGTCGATGTAACCCAATCCTGAAGCAACATTTTGCATTTCGAGGGAGAGAATCGCATCCCGAACATGCTTGCATTGTTGCTTAGAGTGGTCAGAAGACTCTGCATTTTGTCAGCGTCTTCACCAAATAAAACTATGTCATCAGCATATTCTAAGTCAACAAGTGAACCTCCCGGTAGAAGTTCAACCCCTGGAAATTTAGATGAGGAGAGTGTTATCTCTAAAAGTACGTCGACCACAAAGTTGAACAAGAATGGGGAGAGTGGACAGCCCTGACGAACACCACTTGAGGTAATCAATTCTGATGACAGTTCGCCATAAGCTCTCACTCTACCAGTTGTGTTCGAGTAGAGAGCCTTTATAAGGTTAATGTACTTCTTTGGTACTCCTTTCAGTGACAAACACTGCCATAGAACCTCACGATCAACAGAGTCGAATGCCGCCTTAAGGTCGAGAAATACTACCATTGTGGGGCGTCTGAATGTGTGTCTGTGTTCTAGAACCTGACGTAGTGTGAATATCTGATCTATACAACCACGTCCAGGTCGAAAACCGGCCTGGTTTTCTCTAGTCTGCTCTTCACGAGCTTTGATTAGGCGTCGAAGTATTATTGAAGCTAATATTTTAGACACTATATTAGTCAAACTGATTCCTCTGTGATTGTCACAAGAGGACTTTTGTCCTTTCTTATAGACTGGCACAATCAGTGATTGAGACCAGTCAGATGGGATTACGTCCAGTTCCCAAATTCTACCTAAGACCTCGGTTAATCTCATTGCTAATACTGGACCACCATCCTTAAAAATCTCAGGAGTAAACCTGTCAGGGCCTGCTGCTCTCCCTCGTTTCAGATTTCCTATGGCTTTTTCAACTTCGTAAAGGGACGGAGGACCTACATTAACTTGCCATTCAGGTTGACTAGAGATCGTGGGAAACCGAAGTGTGGCTGAAGGCCAGTTGAACTGATCCCTAAAGTGTTCTGCCCATCGATCCAATCTCCTGGATTGAGAATGAATAATATGTCCATCTTTCTCTGAGATTGTTTCGCTAACGGTCGGGTTCCTAATTCCGGTTTCCTTAACGAGTCTGAACAATTGTCTGCTATTACCTATTGCCGCTGCCTTTTCCATCTCTCTTGCTTTCGCTACCCACCACTGTTCGCGATCATTGCGTAGACTTCTTGTCAGCTTGCGCTTAAGCTGACTCCGCTCTTCATTATGTTCAGAGCCAGGTGGAATGAGTTTCCGAGCATCTATCAGTGCGATAGATGCTGCTGAGATCCAGTGTTGCTCCCTAACCTTCTGGTTTACCTTACTAGCAGATATCACTGCTGTTTCCACAGCTTTTCGGATATCATTCCATGCTGCATCGGGGTGGGCATCACATACATGGCTGCCTAACTGTTTTCCTAGTTGTTCCTGAAATATACTCTTAGCTTGACTATCATTAAGTAGGCCCTAAGAGGTTTCCTTGCAGCGTCTTTCCTACGTCCAGTAAGACGCAAGCAAATACGCGCTCGCACTAGAGCATGATCTGAATCTAGGCATGTGCTCCAGAATGAGCGACAGTCTTCTATCGAGCCCCTCCATCGGTGGCTGATAGCGATGTGATCTATTTGGGTCCAACGTTGGGACGAATTAGGGGGTCGCCATGTTAAAAGATGTTTTTCCTTATGCTTAAAGTTAGTATTTGCAAGGAACAGGCGGTTATCTGAGCATAGCTGCAACAGACGGTCGCCATTATCTGTTCTTTGAGCCACGACACCATAAGATCCACCTAGGTGTCTTTCCCTATCGCTTAGTTTACCTACTTGAGCATTAAAGTCACCGGCCACTATTACTACATCCGAGCGCTTAGCTTTTCGGAGAAGGTCCGAAAGCTTTCTGTAAAACTCATCTTTTACATCATCTGAGCTGCAGTCAGTGGGAGAATAGGCAGAGACGACGAAGAGGCAACGACGAGTGTCCCTATCTTTCCGGATTCTTACTGTTCCGTTCAGTCGGACAGCGCACAAACGACTGTCTACTGGGATCCACTCTAAGAGAGCTAGTTCTGCCCTAGGACTCAATGCTATACCTACGCCGGCGAGGCCACGGGAAGCAGAATCAGGGCTTCCAGATACACGAAGCGTAAATCGAGTCGGTTCTTTATTTTGGCATGGTGAGGTCAAATGAATGACGCTACTTGGATCCTGTATGCGCGTTTCGGAGACGCAGCACACATCGATGGCGCGAGATTCTAAAGTTTTAGCTAAGGAAGCCTGCTGTCCTATTTGGCAAAGTGTTCGTACGTTAAAAGCTCCTACGTGTAGTTTAGAGCGTGGTTTCAGGAGACCAGGAATGGCGTTCCACGTACTCGAATCGTTTGCCCTAGCGGTGCGAGGTGATAAAGAGACGTGAGGAGGGTTAGTCATGGAGATAAGAGAGGTATTAGGAGGTGTAGGAAGGATTTGAATGTGACCACCTTGGTCTCTTGTGCTGTTACGGGTATGAGGGCTGATGTCACTTCCCGGCTGCCCACACCGTGGAAGGGTATTTCTTGAGGAACCTGAAAAGGAAATTGGATTAGTGTTGGTCTTGACGACCTGGGAGCGTGACCGCAGAGCCCAAGGGACAACTGCTTGAGGCCGGTCGCGCACGGCCTTTTTGTGGAAGGTTTTTGACGTGTTAGCTCCGTTCTTCAAAGGGCCTTACCGCCGGAGACGGAAATCCGTGAGGTAAGGTGAGGTGTGACATTTTTAGGGTCGACCTTTTCTAACCCCACCCCTCCTTGTGGGAAGGCAGCATCGCTGTCATGCTGGTTGTCCGAAGGAAACACCTTACTGCTGTCACACCCCTCTACAGTCAGCAGTACGACTTCGCCCTCAGACCTTGAGTTGCTGCTTTTAGTCTTACCGTTCACCAATCGACCTGCCTGGCATGGTAGAACCTACAGGAACATATGTTCCAGCCAATATAGCTCGGTTGGGTCATCACGATAGGCAAGCCCGACCACCGCGTCAAGGTAGCAGCTTCGATCGGGCTTATAAAGTATATTTTCATCAAGATCAAACATTTGTTGATGCTAGAATAAATGACCAATGTTTCGGGTGCCATACATTAGTATCTTTTATTATGGATGTATATACGTAACCTATAACAAATTTTGTAATTATCAGTCAATCATTCTATATAACTTCAAGTTTGAACCATTATATTCCTATCATTATGAATCTTTATGTATATTTAATATCTGGATCAACTTCTTCAGTATATAAGATTGAGAAGATCTTCAATTATTGAGTTACAATACTTTTCAGTCATGATAGGATTGATTAAGCAAACCTTTTAAGAATATACAGAAATTTATTATAACAGAAAAGATTAATAAGTAGTTATTGCATTATATGTAGGGAATGATTGAATTCAGTTTAAACTATATATGACTGTTCACTCAGAAAGTTCTCTACATTGGAATACCTAGTACTTCATTTTGGAAATACTTAAATATTATTTATTGATCAAACGTATGTTATTAATCTGTTAATTCATGACCATAGGAAGATCCGTACAACTTCTTTTAATTCAGTATACAGTTCATTAAAAAAAACAACGATGTACTGGATCATTTACACCTCTGTTTGTATACTCTTTGTTTTTTTTAAAGGTTAATTTAGATTCGGAAACTCGGAATCAAACAATCGCTAGCATAACAAATCCAACTAATGAATCATTTATTTTAGCTCAACAAACTATTCAAGGATTAATGAATAAAGATTCTTATCAGCGGTTTTTACGTTCTTCGTTTTATTTTGAATTAAAACAGTTAGTTTGGCATACATATCCAGAAAATGATGAACCGACAAATTCAGAATCTAATATACATGATACTATCATATCAAATAATCAAACTCAATATTTCATATCAAGAGATCCAATCACTGACAATACATCCAGTCCATGTTCTGAAGAAGAACATGTCAAGGTAGGTATATAATTAACAAAATACTTTCTTCAATTAAATATTGACAGGTAATAACTAAAACCTAAATTGAATTATACGTTAGATTTCTTTTTCAAATAAACAGTTTACTTACTTGATAAACACAAAACTTTTGTCTAGTTTGTAAACAATCTACTGTAAGTCGTAAATAATCTGATTATATTGTTTCTCAGACAAGAAAGTTTCATAATCTAGCTTGATTGTTCTGTAATTTAACGAGAATATTTTTCAATAACCATTTGAAAGAAATTTTAATTTGTTAATTGAATAGACAAGCCAATGTACATTGGTTAAACTATCATGGATATATTACACAAAAATGTAATATACACTGAAAGCTAGTCTGTTTAATTCATAGTTACCTAATAGATATTCGGAAATTTAGTTTAATCTAGTAATTAGTCTGATAAACTTATAAAATTTTTTTCCTAATTAACTAACAATAATCAAATCACAGTTTTACAATAATGAGTTATAAAATTATGATTAAATATCATATTGTTTAGTCATTAGGGCTGATTGAAATCAATTGAATAATTTGTAAAGCAGCTGATAAATTGATTGAGAATGCATAGTGACAGATTTTTGTTTGGTGTTAAGAATTCCACTCAAATTACTTGATAGTCCACTTTTAGAAAAGAAAGAAAATCGTTAGGAAGGAATGCAGATCGTTAAATTTGATTACATATAATATTGTGATTGTTTGACAGAATAAGGTCTAATGATTTATCTAGTAAAGAAATACTAATTTTAGAGGCATATACATCAATACCGTTGAATGCCGGCTCAGTGGTCTAGTTGGTTAAGTGCCTGGCGTGAGACTGATAGGTTCGATTCTCGTGGGGTGCGGGATCGTGGATGCGCGCTTCTGAGGAGTCCCATACTAGGACGAAACGGCCGTCCAGTGCTTTCAGGTTTTCCATGGTGGTCTAGCTTCAATCGACTCATGATTTCAGTCAGTGAAATTTATATGAGGGCCAAGACTCTATCACTAAAGCAAATGGTTTATTTTCAATAAATATCTAGCTTAAATGTATTTAAGAGTAAGCCAGTATATTAACATTATGGAAAATAAAATCAACATAGAAATGGTAAATTTATTCCTTAATCATTAGAATAACACAAAGTGTGTATAACTTGTCATATAATTAAAATTATTATTTCTTATTCACTACTACAATTAATTAAATGCTACGAAGTTATTAATTTACAGTTTAAATGTTTTAAATTGATTGTTAGATCGTATTTACGCTTCCAATCAACATTTATGCGATACGATACTCCAACTCATACACTTGATCAAATCATCTTTGAAGCTTATGCGTAAAATTTAGTCACCACTTTCGATGGTTATTTTTAGTATCTTTCTACTATTTATGATTGTAAGTATATTTTATCGTTTACTTAAGTAGCTTTTAAGTAACTTGATAGCTGAATTTATGAGCCAATTAAAGGTAGACCACCACTGAAGACCTGGAAGCACTGTACGACCGTTTCATCCTAGTACGGGACTCCTCAGCAGTGTGCATTCACGATCCTGCACTCAGAACTCGAACCAGGGACTTTCAATCTTGTGCGCAAACGTTTAACCTCTAAACCATTGAGACGGCATTCAAACGGTGTCAATTTCTAACTTTAACCAATCCACGATATTGCGCGACAGTCCACCATTGTCTTCCGTGAGCAACTGCCTCACAAAAGACACGGTTGAACTCCACTTGTTCTGACTTCTGAAACGAACTCGTAAAATAATAAGCCACCTGCTGATAACACTCCACAATATAAATACTTTTTTAGACTACATCTTTACTTAAATAATATTGTTTTGACCATTCTTCGGAGTTGAAGATTCTTATTTACTGTATCGTACACTTAGATGGACAGTAAATATTAGGATTTCATCAACTACAGATTAATCTCATTACAATGATTACTAGTATTAGGAGATTAACTAATCACATGTTTTTCCTTTATTAATCTTATATATCTAATTAGTAAAATGACCTCTCTGATTTTATTGATTTTAAATTATTTTATAAGGCAGGGATAAGTGATTGTTTGTTGTTTGTTGTGTGGCAACAAGAAGACGTATAAAAATGAGTTTCGTGTAGTGTTGTGTTCTTAAAATAAAACATCAATTTATATAAGTCGTAATTTTTCTTCCTTTACTTGATTTATATTATAATTTCAATGTCGTTCTCAATGAGGTGAAGAGGTTAAAACGTGAGAAGATTATTCCACTCACTATGATTTACTTGAAACAAATGAAATAAAATGGTTGTTTTAGCTGTGCATAAAGTGTAACCTTTTTAACATTTTTTTCAGTTGATTTTAGCTTACTTTTTCAGTTCACTATGACGGTATTAAAGGTTATTAAACCATTTTGAAATCACATGCTGACTACAACACTTAAGTTGGATATATCATTATAAATCGTCTAGTACTACGTCAAGCCCACATGGATTATTCTGACTTCCAGAAAAACCAGTTTATTCGTTCTTCTTAAGTCATATTTTTACTTTGTCAATCATTCTCTTATTACCCTGACTGTTTCTATTTGAGCGTGTATGTATTGATTACTCTATTCGTCTCATATTTCTAGCTTATTTTGTATGGTTATAACTAATGAGTCACACTTTATTAAAATGGGTTGGCTCACTTGCCTCATCCACTTGGCTTCTATCCTGGTTTTCATTCTGAATGTTTATATGGATAAACGAGTTCTTCAATTAGATTCAACAAACGCAAGCCATATTTGCTTTTTGTTACTGCCGTCACCCAAACGGCGTTAATCTAGGTATAATATGCGGAGTTAAATAGCAGATTTATGTTTTGAACACATTCGTTCATTTTTCGGGATTAAAGTCAGATCAACGGGCCGCTAAAAAGGTATGATTTGTTCATAAATCTGTTCAAATTTTTAAATTTACACACGTAATGATAGTTTAACATGGTCATTATGATGTACTCGTAATATGATGAAAGCTTTGGAAGTATTTTATGCTACGGACAGATTAAATGTTCAGAAGTCAGGACAATGATGCTTTGTATTGAACTTTTCGGAAGTGTAGACATAAGACTTCATACAGGATAGAACTAATGATCATTCAGGACTTCGTAGTCAGTTACTTTTCAAGTGATTTTGTTATTCTCTTATGGTTAACAGTTTTGGACTTAGTTAGTACATGATATGCAGGCACTATATATTGTTATCGATGAATTCTGTCTCATCCTTAGCGTGATCGGAATTTACAGATCACGATTTCTGAAAAAGACTTTGTGAATATTTCTCAAAAGTAGTCATTAATTAGTACATAATAACTGCTAACATATGTCAGGTTATTTATGTAAAGTCCATCTGGAATGTGAACTGAAAAGCCAACAATCTCTACAAACCTATTCTATATTAACTACTTTATGGAGTCTTAATTCGTTGACTTTAACTTGAATGTTTTATCTGGTAGATTGTAAATTGTACCGAACTATCATTTTATGCACATAATTTGAAACAACATTTATACCTTCCAAACTTATCTTTATTTGGACATCGTAATCCGTCTGCCTACAATTTACGTGATTAAAGTGTTTGATTCGATTAATTAATGATACGACTGAAAAATATTTACTTCTCAATTCAATCTATACGATTTATTATTTCACGTTAGATAGTGGCTAGTTTTTGAATCAAGGTTACGCATGCCATGTTGTTTAACACTAATTAACTGAATATCTCTTCATTGCAATAGTGATACTCATATAATGTTATAGACTCAATAACTTTATCTTTAAACTCAAACTCGCTATTCACTGAGCTACTGAATGCATATAATCACAAATTCGTGCAACACGCTTCCTCAATTCTATTTTCTAGCCATTACTTAGCCTTAGTAAAAACTTATGATAAAATAAGAAACCTGAGACAATCCACTCAGAGTGCATACATGCCAGTAGAGAGTGATACATAACACATGAATATGAAACACACTATTTTAATAGTGACATCTTAATTCGTGATAATGATAGTATATATTCACGAACTTAAAGATTCAAATGTTCTTATCATTAACACTAGTAAACTGTTTCCAAGTTCACAATTCATAAAAGAATAACTTTTATCTGTCATGATAAATTGTTAATCAAGATTACAGATTAACTTGAGTTGAAGAATGGTTAAATCTTAAAAAGAACAAATCTCAATCAAATAAATAAGATCGCTTGTTTGGAGGAAGCAAATCGAATAATAGTAAAAAAAAAGCAAACAAATATCCGGATAAACAAATAAACTAATGATTATGAGTTAATAGTGATAACTTTAAACAAGCAGAATATAATAAAAGAAACATCATAACTATATTCAAGATGATAACAATAATAATGAATGAAATAATCAGTTGACTTCATTGAATAATTTCAGTTTGATGAAAACACAGATGGTGAAATGTTTTATCTTTTCTTCCTTTATTTTTCTCATGAAATTAGTTTAATAGAAGAAATTAATAACAATAATGACAAACATTAATGATCTTCGATTACAAAAACAAATATTATTTAGTCTTGAGATAATCCTAAATGTTTGTTTACTTAGTTATGGGACGAAATTAAAAAATAATGTTTCATTTGATGGTAGAGAAGATTTGTAGCTCAGGTGGATCATTTTGATGGAGTTTTGTTCTTTTGTCGATGAAAGTTACACGACCAAACCATCTAGCTCCGAGAACTAAACTCCATCAAAATGTTCATTTAATACATATCACTTAAGTGTATCATCTTTTATATTGTACAACTAGATAAAATGTGTTTAAATAATTGGTAGCTCATTAAAACTCTTTTCATAGTCCTGTGATGACTGACCCTATGTCGAGCATACACGGGTTATTCTAGTTTCTGAATAGACCAATCTATTCATTTTTCCTAAACCATATTTTGACCTTGTCACCTTGACTGCTATTATATAAGCGTATACATGTGCTTTTTTTATCTTAATCATCACATATCTGTAACATATTTTTATCGTGTTATAAATATCGATTCATGCTTGATTAAATCGAGTTGGCTTACATGCTTTCTTCAGTGGGCATCATTTCGCTTCGCTCTCTTCTCTTTGCTATATTTGCTTTCTTCATTTCGTTTCTCCGATTGCGTTTTTCTGGATCAACGATTGTATAATGTATACGTATTCGAAATTCATTGTCGTATTTTACTTATTTAATTTCGTTATCCCCTAACGCAGAATATGCCGATAATTATATTCGAGGATTGGCGATGTGTATATTTCAATAACAATCATAATACGATTTAAATGGAGTAAGATATCGGGCCACCGAAGACCCATACAGACTTTAGTCATAAACACAATAAATAATAGATACTCAGTCATTGTTTTCAGTTAACTGATTTCTAATAATTCAAATCTACCATACCGCTAACCACAACAGGGTAATAACTAGTAGTTAGTCAGTTAGTCAGTCGAATGTATTCAATAGAACAAGTTCTCTAGGATTTAATGAACAATGCTGTATTATTTAATTAGCAAAACGCCATAACTAGATATTTACACTCTTGATTATAAGAGAAGTTTCTAAAAAATTGTTTCTTGTGAAGATGGTCTGAATCATTGATTGAATTTATACAAAAAACAAATAAAAATCACACAGCACTTGATAACTACTTCGTCCTAATTTGATACTCCAATACAATACAACCTTGTAGTTATTGAGTTACATTTTAATTAAGGGAATTTGAATCATTTATTAAGTATATTTAGTGTCTGAAATACAAAAGTCATTTTAGTCAAGTTAAGTTTTCACATTTAATTAGAATAATTTTATCATTCTTTGCAAATGTGACACTTGACTAAGACTGTCATATTCAATTGAACTTATTATTTCAAAAAAATAAATACTTTCATTGGTTTCAATGGATTATTTCTTTCAATAAATCAAATAACAATAGAAGAAAATGATTGAATTTTGTCACCCATTTTATCATTATCTTTATTTATTTGTAACAGTTTTTTTGTTGACTTTGCATTGAATGAATTCGATTATCTTAAAATCTTGTACCCAATTTATTTTCGAACGGTTAATTTATATTAGTGATCTAAATGACTTTTTAGAAGGAGAAATAATTCTAAATTCACTTGGTGTTGTTTACTTGAATCTTTTCATTGATGTGCATACATTGCATACTGCCTTGATATTGTTTTAATTCACAAGCATTATAAGCAAAGATTGATCATGGCTAGCAGTGGAATCCAGGATGCGCGTTTCATCCTATTTGGGATTTGTCAGCCAATTCTGCTTTCATAATAGATATATTTTTGTTGGACCGATATTTAACAATTCATTGTAGATAAAAAGGCAACGCGTCCTTATTTCTGGTAATACAACATTGCAGAATATCTTGGTAAATACTTCATTTACAAAATATCCATCAATTATCTCAGACTTTGTTATTCCTTCGTTTCCAAACCAATCACTCTCAGTTCTCGTACTATTCTCTTCGATTTTCCAAATATTCTCCCGCCAGGTATTCCACTTTCGATATCTTTCGATATCAGTATCACACAATACATTATTTATTTATTACTAACTTCTCAACTGATTGATGTCATGATTATTTACATATTAGAATACATTATTTTTGGTTGATTCATTTCATTGAGGGTATGAGATAATTGAATAGTACCATTTGGTTACATGTACTTAATTGTAATGAAATGTAATCAAATAAGAAGACTATTTTTTGGTAAATTGAATAGATTGATAGAGAATATGTTCCATACTATTTATTACATTTATATTTTATCAGATTTCTTTTATTATTTTTTTATTCTTGAATAATCATGGTTTGTATATTTAAATAGTTAAAATTGATTCATTATAATCAAATCAATTAAACACTAACTACAATTTTTACTAAATAAACAGCAGTGTTTTGTGATTGTTTCATTTAAATTAATAAAATGTATTTTAGATAATCCAAAATCAACTTTTAGTTCTATCTAAATGCTTAACAGTAAGTGTTAGAATAAACAATAGAAAACAATTCAGTTGTTGTAGTTTTAATTGTATCTTCCCATTGTTATTTAGGACTGAAATTGATCAGTCTCTTATTGGCATATATGTATCCTGTGCGAATTGCCTCAATATAGCCTCAAGTCACAAGCTTTTTAATCAAGTACATCCAGCTGATGAGTCTGAAATAGACCGAAACACCAGTCATGGATTCCACTGTTAGCCACTATTTATATATGCTTAATAGAAAACAATTCTGAAGTTCATCATATGAATACATATTATGCATAACAATAGAATAAATAATATAATTGCATTTATTCATCTCAATAAATAAATTATATTTTGTCTTGACATATTTCTCAAAAAGTGAAACGATCAGTTAGCGATGTTTCAGACAATAGTTTACACTCATCTGATGAAATACTTTAGCATCATAACTGTATTAAAGAGTATTTGTGAAAACAAAAACTAGTCGATATGAATTCAATTCAACCTTTGGTTGTCCATTTTTCTCTGAATAACAAATAGAAAAATAAATAGCTTTTTTAAATTTATAGCCTGTATTAGTGTTTCAATGTGTACACCAAGTAAGACGCATACATTTTATGAGTAAATGTACTTAGATAACTAGTGTAACTCTTTGTGTTACGTAATATATAACTAAAGTATTAACTCTTACGAATAGACTTTGTAAATTGTCAATTCTAATACTACGGTCTGTTTATTTTAAGGAGCTGTGGTTAGAGCAAAAGCTGTCACTCGACATTACTGAGGTATTATTCTTTTTTTTGATAAGCTATGTGACATTCCAAATGTATTGATAACCTTGTTTAAAAGGTTGATGAAAGTTGATTGAATGTGTAAATAGTTATTTTCTTGACCACTGGATATCCGGAAGCATTGTAGAAATCTTTAATTATAAATTCATTTATGATGAACTAAACTCTATAAATTTGCGAATTTCTCGCCCACCTTGGATGTATTTAGCACAGATAAAAGTCTTAGTAATCTTTATTGTAGAAATATGTTTATAGTTCAGTCTTAACTCCCCAAGAATCCTCATCTTCATGATGTTTTGAAAGCATAAATTAAGCAGAGCTCCTTTTGACACATAAAAAGTCACTTAATCTAGTACTCATTCTTATTTATTTATTTCTATAAATAATGCCTAAACCTGCATTTCTCTTTTATCACAAGGTGTGATATGATTCTCATGTATAATATTGTTTACCACTGTTCAATAATGTATACTACACTAATTAATGTTATTTATCTATTTAATTTACAAGGCATATTCATTACAATGCCTAAAAATGTGTTGGACTTGCACATGAATTGAATTTCCGATTGTGTTTTAAAATGTATTTGATGCAAAAGTAGTCATGTTTATAATCTAATGCAAAGTAACGGATTATGGTGTTAATAGATTAGAAAGTGAAAAAGTAACTCAGATATTGTTGGGGACGTTAGATCCCCAGAACTCACTTGGGAAAGGATCTAATTTTGTAATTTTATTTAGAAAATTTGAATTTCTTTGTTTTCGCGCCGATAGCGCTCTTGTCACCTTCATGTCGTACTTCCCACTGGGAAATATATGAAATGCTATTGGTCCGTTGCGTCATTTAGTATGCTATTTGGTAACTCTCCCCAGGGACGGTTTTGTACTGTATATGTACGTTTTGAATTGTGTTTGTTGTTATCCCTCGTTTCTGGCTGTTTGCAGAATATACCTCCCCATTCCAAGCTTGAACGTCTCACTCTAGTTAGCGTAGATGGGACGCATCAGTAGCTAGGTTACTAGTCTTTGATCACCGAGTCTTGTTTCTCGTTCGCAGATTAAGTGAACTCGTGATAGCTTCAACCCTAGCAGATATGATATTAGGAGATGTTTGAGTCACACGGCGATTTCACGGAACCTGGAAATGTAGATAACCGTGCTCTGATTGAATCACTTAATGATACAGTGTTTACCAAAAACTCTTAGGTTGTTGTTCATTTTGCATTGGTTGCTTGAATTTTTCCATTGATTTTTAGGACTGCAATTGATCAGTCTCTTATTGAAATCTGTACGTCCTGTGAGGATTGCATCGATACTACCTTCAGTCACAAGCATTGTAAGCATAGATGATGGTGAGTAGCAGTGAAATGTGGGACGCACGTTTCCTCCTATTAAGGACTCGTCAGATAGATGTACCTGCATCCGAGTTAATGTTCACTCTGGGACTCGAACTAATTACCGTCCACTTCACTCCATTACACAAGCTAGTTGCTATCTGGACTCAGTAGCTAGGCGGATAACGCGATGACGTTTGAAGCAAATGAAACTGCGTTCGAGTCGCTGAGTGAACATCAACTCAGATGCAGGTACATTCAGCTGACGAGTCCCAAATAGGATGAAACGCAGGTCCCGAATTTTACTACTAGCCACCATCATCTCCGATTATAAAAATGTATTCTTTATCAAAACTAAAGAAATAAATTCTATTAGTTGTATAGTGACGTATTCAATTTGACTATTTATCAACTTAAGATAGCATTCGGAATTGAAGAGTACCAAGAACTAAAAATTATCTTTTAGTGAAGATGAATGAAGGTTACGGCCTATTTTCATTTTTGGATCCTACTTTGTGTTATAATTCGTACGTTTTTTGTATGTTTTATGTTAATTATATTAACTATATTTCCCTCATTTACTCTCAGGAGTTCCTGCGATCTCCATCAGTATCATATTCAACCATTAGTTCCCCTAAACAAACTGCAGCGTCTCATGAAACCAATTTAGAAAGTCATATTCAGCCGTCGAAAACAATACCTTCCCCGTTACTTGATTGTACTGTGTCCAGTTTATTTCACAAGCATATAGACGATGATGAAGAGTTATCATTTCATGAGAATATAACTGAACATCCTACTTACACTCAAACGAATGATAATTTATCCGTTCAGGAATTACCAAATTCTGTTCATACTGAAGCTGCGCCACATTCTCCTAAACTTTGTTATACTGGATATACATTATCCAATACTGATTGCTATAAATTAAAACAAAATATTAGATCAGAGTTATAATTTTAAAGTGACTAATTGATATGATTCATTTTTTTTATATCGCCATCATAGTAAAACCTTTTTTGATAAAAAAGTACTACCCTCTGATAAATATTTTCATTCATTAACTGTGATAAGTTTTACTGTAATAACCTTCGCCTAAAAAATATCCAATCTTCTTTAATGCTTTTGTGATGTGATGGGCATTTCAAGGAGTTGAAATATTACAGAAATTTACTTACAAACGAAGAGTTCAATTCAAAAAAGGATACTATAACCCGTTTCATACAGTCCAATTTCAAATGAAAGTGATTTTTTGTACATTACATCTAACATACAATCGTTTCGTAATTTAATTTGAAAACAAATTTGATCCCATAATTTTATTCTCAAACGCTTAATAATCACCTATTTCAGTACGAATTTGTATCACACAGAAGTGATAAATGATATTGATTGTTAAGTTTATAAGTGACCAATATGTGCTTCACATGAAAATAATAGATTTCTAAAAGATATTACTTAATTAGAAAATGAGTAGTCTGGAAAAATAAGATAAGATAGAACAGTCTTTTTAACTACAATTGGCTAAACTAAATTAATCGAATTCTATAGATTTTCTATTCAGCTGTGTTTATGTTGATATTGTTAGTGGCATGATGGGAACTGATGTTTAGATGTTTGTTGAACAGTGTTTGTCATTCTATGATGAGTCTTTTTCTCGAAATTAATGAAATATACCTAAATATCATACGCTTTCTGGCAACATAGACATTAACTGAATGTCAAACTTTTATATACTTTGAAAGAGAATACAACACTTAGCGTATCGTCATATTACAAACCACTCAATATTAATCAACATCATTATGGAAATCATTTGTCTAAGACGTAGATGTTTAAGTGGTATTTTCTAATAAATTTTTATCTGCATTTAAAATAACACTAAAGACTTTCCGGTATCCCTTTCAACAGAGTTCTGGATTATAAGTAAAACATAAAAAAGTTTGTTTTATCTTCGTACAAACCCGAATAGACAAGAATTTTCAGAGTAAACTACAGCATGAAATCACACGAAAATTAATTTTGGCGTCAAGTTGTTGAATCTAATCCGCAATTGAAAAGAAATTGACGGTTTTTGTTAAGATGCGATTATGTACACTCAGTTACATAATCACTGCATATTAATTCGGGTCAAGAAATGAATAAAACATAAATATGTCGAATTGTCTACTTGTTTTCGAAAATTTAAGTGTTATAAACCGCTCAATCTGCAGTGTTTGGTGAGTTGAAAAGAGGTGAGAAAAGATATTCTCAAAAGCTTCAGTGAATTTTGATTTTCTCTGCCTTCATACTTGAAAGGATGCATTTCATTCTGATAATGAGGAAAATGAGAACACTGTAGGGATGTGTTAATTTCTATGATATGACTGATTGTAATGAACGAAGACTTACGTGAGGACAACCTATTCATTATTTCATACAAAGTTACAGAATATTTTGGTAAATTATGGAAACATACATTAAATGCTTCAATTGCAAATCTTCCATCGGTTGTCCTTTACATTCTATCTGATTATTACAATTCATAATTCCTTTCTATTTCCCTTTCTGCTGTCGGCCATTCAACTTTTGACTGTTGTTACATACTCGTAGCATACACTACAGTATGAGTGGTTAGGTAAAAGTGACTAATGTATAGTAATTTACTTTGAACACGGATTAATCCGAATCGTAGCATGAAATCTATTTAGCATTTTCATTGTCCGTTTCACTCATTGATTTGTGGTGAAAGTGGAGTTTGGGTTGTAATGATACATTTTTAAAACGATTCTATCAACGTTTTCAGGGTAAGTGAAGAGTCTGATTCGCTTAGTGTAAACAATAAATATGATCAGTTAACGAGTCACAGAATGGATTATGCATAAAGTTAATTATTCATTGTATGCCAAGTAGTATTTCATACGTATATCAACTGATTATATATATATATATATATATATATATATATATATATATATCGGTCAGGGAATACGTTTGCGAAATAGGTCTAAGTCAAAAAATTAATTAAAATGCTTGCAAAAGTAAATATTTTCAAATCCGTTATCGATCATAATAGGTCCCTGTTCAACTGAATGGAATACATAAATCGACAATGTTCTTAGATTTTATGAAACTGCGCCGATCGATCCGAATTCAGATCTTTTGAGGCAGTTACAGTCTATAATTTTCTTGTGAACTAACATGTATTCGTTTCCCATTACAGCTAATTTTATAATTAAATGGTTTTATCACTTTGACAGCCAATTTCCTACTTTTACTTGATGCACTTCTATGCTAACCACATTGTCAAACTGAAACAACTGATATCTGGGTGTTGATAATATTTCGTCCGATTTTTCAACTCGGTGGTAGCTTGAAGTTTCGTTAAACAGTTAAATATCCTTCAAGTATCCTAGGCCTAACATCATCAGAAACAACACGATTTTTCGCCATTCGACTTCGATAATCTTTGGAAATCACTGGTAAAATACCCAACATTTATTTCTAAATTCTATCTTCGAAGACTGTCTTTTGTTTGTAAATTAAAAAATGTAAACATAACAGAATATTTTCACATGCATATACAGATAAATTTCAAAATAACTTATTAGTACAAGGTAAGTCTATTGTAATCATCCCACTAAATCTATTAAAAGAGGTAAAATCATCTTGAAATAGAAATGAAATGTCTTAATTCCTTTTCAATAAGACCATGGGTTGCTTTTTATGATGACGGCCCACTGCTGAACTCGAGGAATCTCTAAGAAGCCCATAAAGAGACGAAGATTTTCCATCCAATCATCTTTCGGAAGAACATTCCAGAATCTCGACGTATAGCTTCGCCATTGGATAATTATGACGATGATTTTGATTTAACTAAAGGCTATAAGTACCTGAGAGTTTTGTACCATAATGAAACTGTTTGGAATAACATTACTTCTCACTTGTCTTCTGCTTTCTCATTTGAAATTTGGTGAATTCTAGCACTCGAGTGCTCAGGTGGTACGCGGTGTATCAAGAATCTAAGCTCCATATATAACACCTTTGTTATAGAAATAATTGTTGATTTTAAATCTAAAATTTAGATGCCTAACAGAAAAGTTACAAGTGTTACATTCAAAATCCAATTAAATATAAAGATTCCCATCATTATAAAACCGAGTAATTTTGATCAGTTTAAACGGTGTTAACACTATTGGTTGTATTAGTTAACAAAGGAACTTTGAATTATGTGATTCAAAGAAATTGTCTATACATATCTTATAAGGCATTAGATCCATTAATTTATATGTTAGTTTAATATTATATAATGAATAAATAATAAGTTGAAGTATTATATATAGATTTGTAAGCGTCGATTAGGTTCTCATCCACCTTTAGGTACAAACATAGTATCAGAGATGATCAAATAAGAATGAGAACAGACATCGCTTTTTGCACAAAATTCAAAAACTGATTGACTGATTTCATATTATATAATAATCTCAATAGAAATTTAAACAATTCAGCAAAGAAAATTTATGTTTTGATAATATCATTTACTCAATCTGTACAATCGTATTCATAGTGAAGTTCAACTATGTTAGGTGTGGGGCAGTTACTCACCGAAGACAATGGAAGACGGTTAGGCAGTATCATGGATTGGTTGAATTAAGGCATAGTTCTCGTCATCCAATGGTGGGCTATTACCAACACACTAACATATAACAAGTATATTAATATTTGCTTTATAAATATGAAATTATTTATCGTTTCTGTTAAAGAATAAGTTGTGTAGAGGTCCCAGCTTCCGGACGATCTACTTTTGAATAGGAAGATGAACATAGTGAACTACCTTCTCAAACTCTTTGGTTATAATGAATTCTAATGGTTATCTTAATCTAACCATGTACCGAGAACCGACACATTTAAATCGGTATATCGATTTTAAATATGCACATCCATTCAGTGCGAAAATTTACCTAGCCCTCAAGCTTTCCAGAAGAGCAAACATGATCGTTATTTCAGAAAGAGACATATGAAGAAAAAGAGAATATGATAGACATCTTACGACTTCATAATTTCCCTAAATATATTATTTAAAACATATTAAAACAAAACTGTCCCTCTGTAAATAATAATTTTAAAGAAAGATCTTGGATTGGTACTGTGTTTTTGCATTACCGCGAAGATACGACATAAGAATTAAAGCGGCTTTTGAAAATGTACAAAATCAACGCTTTCTATAAGACAACTAATAATCTAGGAAACTCTTTAGTTAGAATAAAAGAAAAGATCCCGTTCACTTCCACATAATATTATGTTTACCGAGTAGGTTGTGCCGATTAGAGAGTCTTCCCGTGGGATCTCGATCCATGCCGAGGAACGTTTAAGTTACACAGAATGATCTAACAGTTCCGTGAAACCGGAAAATTTATAGGGTAAATCGACAATATCAGTATATGCTACATTCAATAATCACCAAATTGATATTAAAAAAAATTAAAATATTTCAGAAATGTTTTTCGAACTATAAAGAGAGGCGAGTAGCCGAAGAGCTTCACGTACTGCTAAATTCCTATGTCCACGATAGGAAAGAAGGGTTGAATATTCATGCAAGCTGAACCGTTTATCTAAACAACCACATCTTATTTATTTTCCACACAATCTACATAAACACACGCACCTAATTTCAACCCTACTACGTCATATTACAAATGCATACATTTTTCGTACCCGTATTCTGCAACAGAAATTAATGCAGTGGCAGGTCATACGAATTCACCTTAACCAAGAATAACTTCACACTGACATATTCAGACCAAGTATGTTTTAGATTGTACTAAAAGTATTCTACATTGTTTCATTTGTACTATTTTGGCTTATATTAATTTATTTCGGTTATTTGTTTTCCCGAAAGTAGTGGCTTGCATTATGCCGTGAAACGTCAGGAATACAATTTTCCTACTTAAAATATATATTTATTATTCATGTGGGAG